ATAAACCGCAAGCATTGGGATTCACATTTTTGCTTGCTTTAATAATATAAAATAATGGTTTATGTGAACAAGTACTTTTGCCACTTGCCACAAGCCACGTTTCAGTCACTTTTGCCACAAATCGATTTTATGCTCCAAAACATCTCCATCACAGGACATTCACCCTTAATGTCTACACTGGTTTTAAACAATGAGGCTCTTGCGCATACATATTACAGATAAACTAAACCACATACCAGCTTTGCTAATGAACAACACATAAACTAATAAGCCATTTGCATCTCAGAAGAACGTCATCAGCACTTGGCTCTTTTGAACATCAGTCTATAGATCTCATGCATTGGAAGCAAAGAAGCTGTTGAGCCAGCAAGACTCTCGCCCAGATTTCTCTTTTTTAATCTTTCTTCCAAGTGGGAGAAGGACAGCCGGTGCCACTGGCTGGATTTGCCGTTCTTGCCTATTTGCAGTTTTGTGCTTCTGGAAGTATTAGGCTGTGGCTTTAGCTTCCAAGCCAGTGCCTCTGTGCATGCTTTTGAGCACAGGGAGGAGTGTTTGTGCTGTACCCACAGCTGTATGCCTGAGCTGCCACCTGCCAGGATGTACCTATATGAATGGGATGATGATTCAGAGGCGGTGAGTAATTGCATATGCCAATTTCGGTACCTTGCATTGTTTATGTCTGCCTTTGCCAAATTACTATCACTCTTTGCTCTCCTCTGTTCTGCCAGGGTTCTAATCTGCATCTCTTTCCTTTCTGATCTTTTTCTTTCAGCCTTCCTTGTCCAGGAAAATTGTCCATTTTTAAACTGGGTCAGAAAGTTGCTAAAAGAAACATAACTTGAAAACCCATTCTCAAATCAGGTCAAGTTATTGAGTTGGGACAGAACTTGATAGGACCACTGGAATACTACTTAACATTATTTCCAGCTGTGATTCTCTTTTTTTTCCCCTTTTTGTAGTGGTAGGGGTTGGTGATAGCTCTATCTTCCTCCAAATGCCCTTTTCATGAAAAAGAAGATTTCACATATCACAAGCTTGGTATTTTTAAGTAGATTTTTCCAGTTTCTATATTGCCAGTCTTTATAGCATACTTATTACTTAAAATGTGATTTTGTGTTTGTTTATTTCTGTGCATAAATCTGCTCCAACTCTACCTTCTGTTGTATACCAAATGTTGGGTACATTAGGCTGAGATGCTGCCTTTAGACCCATATGGAATGTAGGCCAATTGCAGCTGTGTCATTTGTGCATTTTGTGTGCGTAGAAACTACCCCAGTATATAAGTATCTCTGGGGTTAAAAAAGCCACTACCATGTGGATTTTCAGTTTTGAAATTGAAGCAGAAATCAAGTTTCAACATTGCACCTGGAAAGAGTCAAAACAAAGGACAAGGTCTTTTTGCTCAGCTTTTCCTCTTCTGAAATCCTCTGACCATTGCCCCTGTGTCTCTTTTTGTGAATTCCACCATATCTGTCTACTTTGTTGGACATTAGTTTTTTACTTCATTTTGGGGATTTGGGCAAATTCAACTGTCCAGTCTCCTTCTCCTAATACGAAGTGGCTGCATTCCTTTAGCTTGCAGAGTGGCCTCCTTTTTTCAATTGAACAATCAGCTAGCTCAGCGGTCTCCAACCTTGGCAAGTTTAAGACTTGTGGACTTCAACTCCCAGAGCTATGCTGGTTGAGGAACTCTGGGAGTTGAAATCCACAAATCTTAAAGTTGCCAAGGTTGGAGACACCTGAGCTAGAGAAACCCTTTGGTCTCCGTGTAGCTTCTGTTTTCTTGGCACTGCATCTGCAAACTTATGTTTGCAAACAGTGACAATTAGGTGCAATTTGTAGGAAACTGTGGGCTTAAATAATGGAAATATACCCTCTTGGAGTTGGAAACATTTTCCCAAAAGCAATCAAATTCCCACAGAGCTACCTTAATTGGTGAACCAAAAATTATCCTTCTAAATTGGGCTTAAATAAGCATCCCCATTCCTTCCATCTTAGTACTTGATTGGCAACTGCCTGGAGAGCTGACAGCTTTTCCATACCTCAGCCTTTGACAGCTTTTCCTCACCTCAGCTTTTGCAGAAATTCTGCCTTCTCAACTAAGCTTCCTGGGGGGCTGCTAATTAACAGTGGCATTTCAGTCCCTCAGACTCTCTCCAGTCAAGTGACCACTATTCAAGAATTGTCAGGAGCATTAATTATCTATTAATCAGGAGAAAATCATTATTTCTTCCAAAAAGCCCTGACAAAAGACAAAATAATTACTACTTGTGTGTTCAGAAAAGGTTTAGCAGCACTTCTATTAGACAATTTGTTTGCCTGCGACAACCAACATGGAAATATGGATATTCTTTTTATTTTTTTATTTTTTAAAAATATTTTATTTTTTAAAAACAAAAATACAAATCTCTATTCACATTAACAGTGTTTGTGTCATTATTATTATATACCTCTCCTTTTATATGTAAACATCAACTCTTATTTCTATCCTCCACCCATTTGTACCACCTATCCCAAACTGCGTAATAATCCGAATCATCTTTGCCTCTTAATTCCTTTGTGAATTTATCCAGTTCCACACAATTATGGGAATATGGACATTCTTAAATGCATCACATCTGGGATATAGGTAGTCTTCAACTTACAACAGTTTGTTTAGTGGCTGTGCAAAATTACAATAGCAATGAAAAAAGTGACTTATGACTATTTTTCACACTTATGACTGCTGCAGCATCCTCATGATCACCATGGTTGAAATTCAGACATTTGGCAACTGACTAAGAAGATTGCAGTATTGTGGGATCATGTGATCACCTTTTGCAACCTTCAGTCAATGTTACTTATAAGGTGACCGATCGTCCTCCTTTTGTAAGTTCTGTCCTCTCTCGAAAAGTGTCCTCCTACATGTCCTCCTTTTTGATATTTGAAGACTAATCTGTAAATCTCTGTATTTGATTGATGCCGATCCGATCCATTGTGTGTGATGTGACGTATTTGTATTTGACATGAGGATTCGTCAAGGTTTGGTACAGTGCGGCAAGACATGATTATGAGACGCATGCACTCCCACAGGATAATTGTTTTGAGAGGGTATGGCGCATGCAAGTGGCTTTGTTTTTTTTTCTTCAATTTATTTGTGTCCTCCTTCTCATTGTAAAAAAGTTGGTCACCTTATTACTTAACAACCATGCTATTAACTTAACAATTGTGACAAGAAAGGTCATAAAGTGGGGGAAATCTTAACAACTGTTACACTTAGCAACATAACTTTTGGATCAATTGTAAGTAGAGGACTACCATTTTCTGCAGAAAATGATCAGATACACAAATAAAGTTAATTTAGAAAAGAAGACAAACTAAATTGAATTACTTTAAAGGAAACTTGAATAAGATCAAATCGTAAGAAAAGGAGAAATCCAATCAGATATTTGCAGGACAAGATGGTACATTTTCTCATTTTTCTGAATGTAAATCAATAATAATCAAAGTAATCCTTTACTGAACATAGTCCACTGACAAGTTGTAGGGAAGCAATAAAATCTAAACTGGATGTATAAATATAACTAGCCTATAAAACAGCAAAGAATGTCAAGTATAAATTCTGAGAAATTAATACTTCAAAAGAAATTGTTCAGAATAAACAATCGTTAAAATTGAGTACTGTAAGGTACTTATTTTGTTCTAAGAGAGGCAAATTTATTAGGCCCTTCAGAATAAATTGCTATGTTACAATTGAGTGGTCTCTTCAAAAAATCTTTAAATAAGAGATAGGTTAAACTGTCTCTAGAGCAAAACTGAATGTAAAACTAAGAACTAAGTTTGTTTTAATCTACTAACTATCATATTTAATCCATCCATATTTAATCCATTTCCTGTCTTCAGGGATGAGATTCAAATTTTTAACAATCGGTTCTGTGGGCGTGGCTTAGGTGGCGGGCGTGGCTTGGTGGTCATGTGACTGGGTGGACATGGCTTTGTGGTCATGTGACTGGCTGGCCGTGGCCAACTCAATATCACCCACATCGAGGCACACATCTGCTCACCTGGCCTCTCATGACTGTGGGGATGCTGCAACAGTTGTAAGTGTGAAAAATGGTCATAAGTCACTTTTTTCAGTGCCATTGTAACTTTAAATGGTCACTCCACACAAGCAAAGTAGCAGCAAAGGAGGGGAAAAAACTCCAAAGTAGTTCCTGAGACAGGAAGTCTAGTCCTGCCACCAGATTGTAATAAGGGTTAATGGGGAGGCAGTTTCTGTAAGCAACACCAGAATGTTTCCTTCCTGCCTTCCTTACAGGATTAGGTCAGTAATTTCTTCTAACAACCAGTTTTCCGAACTGCTTAGAATGTAAACAACCGGTTCTAGTGAGTATGTGTGAACTGGTGGAATCCTACTCCTGTTTGTCTTCCCCCAATGATGACTTCCAAACGTGTTCATTTTGATCTGGGAACCTCTCTCCAGATGAAGTTGCTCAATTTCTGGATGACTTGGGGGCTACAAGGTTGTTTCCAGTGCTCTAAAGAAGCGATCTCATCCCTGCACAGCTGGCTAATCTGCATTTTCCCATTTTCTTCTTTTTGAGAAGGGGAAATTAAATGGGAAAAAGGAGAGGAAGGGTGCCCAGAAACTAGAGCTTTTTTTGAATTTTGAACTAGTTTGCTATTGGCAACAAATAATTGCCTGGGGACCAGGGGCATGATTGCTCTGTGGTAGAACTTCATGCTTCATCTTTCATACAGTACATTTAATCCAGTCAGCCAGGAGCTCAGTCAGGGCTATTTACCAATGTTCTGGAAATATGCAATCACATTAATTGGTTTATAGGCCATTATTTGGGTATTACACAGTAGACAGCCACCTCTTTCAGGTGACATCTGGTATCCTTTTGGGCCAGACTAGTATTGAAAACTATTGCATCCCTAGTGTCCTCTCCTTGCCCAGGCAAGCATCAGGGGCTTGACTTCATCTTTTGTTTTTTCACTTCCTCACTCCTTTTCAGGGTTCTGCTGAGTCCTATACCAGTCGCCCATCTGATTCTGATGTGTCCTTGGAGGAAGACCGTGAAGCCCTGCGCAAAGAAGCAGAACGTCAAGCATTGGCACAGCTGGAGAAAGCCAAGGTAAGTATCTTCTTCCTGCAGAATTAGAGAATTCGGATTCAGAAAACGTCCTTTTGCAAAGTCACCTGCTTATCTGGCTTTAGACTGGGAGGCAAATATACATCTTTACGTTCCAAGGGACTGCAATGCAGTATGTGAATAACAGGAAAACAGAGGTTTTCATGAAGATCAAACTATGTTTCCTTCACTTTATGAATGAGAAAAACAAAAGTTACTCCTTATCCTGGTGAACTAGGATATTTTTTCTTTGCATCAGATGGGCAAACCAAGACTGCTTCTATTACATCATGGGTGTCAAACTCAAAGCCCACGGGCCGAATCCAGCCTGCAGGGTGCTTAGATCTGGCCCACAGGCCACACCCTGGAAACAGCAACGTGCCTCTGCCAGCGAAATTAGGGCTCACAAGGGAGGGCTGCATGTGCCCTCCCTCAGCTCTGTTTTTGGCTGCGATGGCCTCCTGCAACCTTTTACCAGCAAAAACAGCGTGGGAGGGTCACACATGGGCTGCAGGATGTCAAGCTGGCCACGCTCATACTAGCCATGCCCATCCCATCGATGCCCACTCATCCCCCCAAAGTCAAACACAACCCTGATGTGGCCCTCAATGAAATAGAGTTTGACACCCCTGTACTACGTCTACTGAATGTTGTTGTAAAAGATAGCTTATATTCATGGCAAAAGTGTCATCATAAATGCACCCCTCCTGCCTTTTTTTTTTTAAGTTATACCAGAGCAGAAATTTTCTCTAGAAAGAAACAGGTCCCTTTCTACTTTTTTTCATGGAAGGAGAATCTGCTTTTCCAGAATTCTTAGTATTCCTTTTCTAGGATTGTATATCCAGAGGTGGGATTCAGCTGGTTTGGACAGGTTCGGGTGAACTGATTGTTAAGATTTTGCGCAATTCAGAGATCTGGCTAATCACACTACTGGCTGACCCCTCCCACTGCGCCCCATCCATCCTGCCCCTCCCAGTCACCTCTTATCTCACCTTGCCCACCTTGGCTGCAGCATCATAGCAGCTGCTGCTCTCTGACTCCCTTGCTCACTTGACTCGATCACGTGGCTCCCGTGGCCCAGTCCACTTGTCTGCCTTTGCACCCCAGACTCTCACACAGCCCAGATCCCTGTCAAGCTTCCCTTCCCCGTTCCCTGCTATGTCCCATGTGGCCCAGCTACCTGCCTACCTGATGAGTCTTTGCCAGCCTCTTTGCCAGCATGAGCAGCCTGCAGCTGCTGCCTCTTTGCTAGCCCAAACTGAGGCAGCAGCCGCTACCTCTTTGCTGACACAAGCAGCCTCCAGCCACCGCCTCTTTGCTGGAGCGAGGGGTCTCCAGCTGCTGCCTCTTTGCCGGCGCAAGGGGCCTCTAGCTGCCTTCTCTTTGCCAGCATAAGCAGCCTCCAGTTACCATCTCTTTGCCGGCCATAACTGAGTCAGCAGCAACTGCTGCCTCGCTTTGGGCCAGTAAAGAGTTGGCCTCTGGAAGCTCCTTTTGCCGAAAAAGAGCACTGGCCGGAGGCCCCTTGTGCCAGAAAAGAGGTGGTTGGAGGATGCTCCTGCCAAAACAGAGCAGCGACTGGAGGCCCCTCACACCAGAAAATAATGGCAGCTGGAGACCACTCTCACTGAAAAAGAACGGCAACTAGAGGATGTTCTCACCAAGGAAGAGTGGCAGACGGAGGCCCCTTGCACCAGAAAAGAGCAGTGGTTGGAGGCTGCTCTCGCCAAAAAAGAGCAGAGTCTGGAGGCCCTTCACATTGGAAAAGAGCGGTTGTTGGATGTGGCTCTTGCTGGAAAAAAGCGATGGCTGGAGGCCCTTTGTGCCTGAAATGAGTGGTGACTGGAAGCTGCTTGCACTGGAAAAGAGTGGCAGCTGGAGGCAGCTCTTGCCGAAAAAAGAGTGCTGTTGGAGGCCCCTCACGTCTGAAAAGAGTGTTGGTTAGAGGCCGCTGTCATCAAAAAGAGTGCTGTTGGAGGCCACTCTCACCAAAAAAGAGCGGCAACTGGAGGCCTCTCATGCCGGAAAAAAGCGGCAGCTGGAGGCTGCTCTTGCCGAAAAAGAGCGGCAACTGGAGGACCCTCATACCAGAAAAGAGCGGCAGTTAGTGGCTGCTCTTGCTGAAAAAGAGCGGTGGCCAGAGGCTCCTCATCTGGAAGAGAGGAGGAAGCTGTAGGCCAGTGTCTCAGGGCACAATCGTGTCCAGCTGGACCAACAAAGGCCAGAAGTAGTTGCCATTTCCTGCTGCAAAAATCATTTTAAAAACTCTTGACTGTTGGGTAGCGAGATCCAGCAAGAGATGTCGCAACAGAATCACTGTTGCTGTTGCTGCACAAAAGTAAGTCTAAGGCTCCGGCCATTGCCACTGCCGCTTCGGCTCGCCTGCGCAGCCCCCACCTTGCCATGAGTGACATCGAGTTGGCCACATCCACTCAGTCACATGGTACCACAAGCCACACCTGCTTAGTTGGATCTCACCACTGTGTATATCTGATAGGAAATAGTTTTTGCAAACAGAGCAGAATAGAATTTGAGATGTAATATTATGTAACTTTCTCAGAGAAAAACTTCCTTACAGCCAATTTTGCCCTGCATGTAAAAACAGCAGTTCAGAATGGCAGGTTTCAGGGGTGAAATTCAACTACCTCAAGTTTGAATCGGTAAAAAAAAATCACCCCTGGTTGCTATTACTATTATGCCAAGTATACCAAGCCACGCCCACAGAGCCAGTAGGGAAAAGTTTTGAATTTCACCCCTGGCAGGTTTGATCCAGGGCCAGAAATATTGTGAATCAAACTTCCTTTTATTTAAGCTTTATTAACTTAAACAGTTTTGTTTCCTGATTATTAGATGAAAATTATAATTCTTTATTTTGTTAAAGACCAAAGTCCCTTCTGGCTCAAAATAGTTTTCATCAATAATTCTCTCTTTTTTATAATTCATTTTTGCAGAGATTCTGCACTGTAAATTACTTTAGTTGCACTTGAAATTTCACCCTGTAGGAGGAGAGAGAGAGAGAGAGAGAACTGATCTAACCTGTCTCTCTCCCTCTCTCCCCCCGCCTCTCTCTCTCTCTCTCTCACACACACACACACACATAAACACTCAGAGGCAGGGGTGGGATTCAAATTTCTTAACAACCACTTCTTGGACGTGGCATAATTTGTGGGTGTGGCTTGGTGGTCATGTGACTGGCTGGGCATGGCTTGTATGTAAATATTATAAATATTTATGCAAATATTGATTTTTTATAAAAAAGCAATTTTTACCCCAAATCAGGCAAAGCAGGCAGGCAGATTGAGTTGCTCACAGAATTACAGATTCACTTAGAGATCTATCTCCAATCGGCTACCTGAGTCTGTCACATAAAAAACTCATAAAATTTCCTAGCAAGCAAACTCACCAAATTAACTCACAACACAGCATGTATGTAAATATTGAATTTTTTATTAAAAAAGAGCAACTTTTACAAAAAATCAGACAAAGCAAGCAGGCAGATTGAATTGCTCACAGAATCATAGATTCATTCAAAGATCTATCTTTCTGCCCTCAGCTAGAAAGCACTGAATAATAGAAGCTTCAGTCCTAAGAAAGGTTTGGCTCTGCTTTTAAGATCTAAAGATTAGCTAGAAAGCAAGAAATCCAACGATTTCCTGCTTTCTGGCTAATCTAAATCTCCCAGCACAGCAGAACAGCTGATGGTTGGGGGGGGCGAGAAGGAAAAATAGCAAGTTTGCCAGGTAAGGAGTGAGTGGGCGGGGAGGGTTCCCGCGAGCCATGTGGGCTGTGCAGCCTTGTGTTCCTGCGCAGCCTGGCTTAGTTGCTTTGGGGGGGGTGCTCTGGGGGTGAGATTTCTCTGCAGACCAGCAAAACTTTCTTGTGGACCATCAGTGGGCCACGGACTACCGGTTGGCGACCACTGATCTACATGATATTTGGAGTTGACTAAACAGCTTTCTTTGTAGTTTGGATTAGTATAAAAATAACCCATTTCCTCTTCTGGTTAATTAAAAGTTCTTATCTCATTTCTCAAGAAACAAGGTAGTTCAGATCACCAATATAAATGTGGCAATCACTTTCTGCATTAAGAAATAAAATGGTTCTATATCTATCACTACATTAGAGAAGATGATTTGATCGCAATAGTATATTGAAGGGCATTTAAGATTTAAAGTGGCTATATGCTGTAGCAGCTATTTCCTTCCACAAATTAAATCTCCATTCTTATCCCTTTAGTTCTGCTTATCTAGAGCATATGTATTACCTTGGGAGGATTTTATATTCAATTTAACTTGCAGATGTTCAAGGTATCTCCTCAGATTACTTTACAGATGTCTGCAGAGAACTGGAATAATAGGCATCCACATTCTCCTATTGTAAGCCACATTAACTTATTATACTTTAACTTATTTCACTCACTTGATCTTTATGTTAGAAGATGGCTAAAATGCTTGAAAAAATAGTTTCAGAGAACCTTCTATGTTCATGCAACATACTCGACCAAATCAGTTACAAATCTATCAACTGCTTTCATATAACCTACTAACAGATTAACAGAGTTGGAAGAGACCTTGTCATCTAGTCCAACCCCCCCGCCCAAGCAGGAGAGGCTGCCTACACCATTTCTGACAAATGCCAGTCCAATCTCTTCTTGAAAGCCTCCAGTGATGAACCTCCCACAACTTCTGAAGGGGAATCACATGACCCTGGCACACTGCAACGGTCATAACTGTGAATCAGTTGTCAAGCTGCCAAATGTATATCATTCAACAAATGGGGATGTTGCAACGGTTATAAGTGCGAAAAGTGATCCTGAGTCATTTTTTTTTAGTGCTGTTGTAAATACGGTTAGTTTGACTGTTGATTGCTTTGTTTTGTTTTAGCATGTTTTATAAATGCAGACTATTTGGTTAATAGATGTTTCAATATATTGTGCAAATCTAAAAATTGGATTAATTCATGAATCACATTCCACAGGTTATTTGAACACAGTTTAAATATCC